TGCCCACTGTTTATGCAGTATCCTTCTGAGGACTCTCCCAAAGACCCCAAGCGTTATAGGGATCTGCACCCTGGCTGGGGGGACATAAACAATCCCTGGTCCTGTGTGAACATGGACAATTGTTCTAGCCTCTCCTTTCTAGTGGTTCTCTCCTGTCCTCAGTGGTTTCCTCCCACATGCGTGCTGCTCGGTGACTAGCTGAAGGCTCGAGAGGGGACCCTCTGCAGGTCTCTGGCGTTCACTCTGTGCAGCCCTCTCCCGTCAAGTGCTCTGCTCTGCAAATTCTGAGCAAACCCCGTCTCCTCAGCTCAGGGGATGGCTGGACTCCACCAGGGCTCCCTCCCCGTGCCGTGGCCTGGAGGGAGCTGGGGCAACCCTACGCTTGCCTCACTAGTCTCCCTTCTCGCAGGGATCACTATGTTTGCTGTGCTGCCTGTTGGCCATGGTTTCATAGATTTTGCCAGGTTTTTTTATTGCTAAGGCAAGAGAGTAAGTGCAGGCCCTGTTGTTCTGTCATGGCTGGAAATAGAAGTTGAATCTAAGATCTTGCTGACCATTGTCCCAATCCTTAGGACAGTCCGCTGCATTTCTGTTTGGTACCACTTTTTACCAGCTGGCACAGAGGGAAGAGGGAAGCAGGTGGTTGATGATTCCTGCTTATCTGCCCCAGAGGGTGCTGTGAATCTGGTGGAACAGTTCTCAGATTGGTATGATGAGGAGAAGGCAGGAAAGTGGCAGCTGCTGTCTTCTGAGCATGGGCTCTCAGGTCCTGTGCTGGCTCTGTGTCCACACTAATTCACTTTATCCTCCAACAGCTGTGTGCAGTGGGCATCGTTATCACCCCATGAGGGAACTAAGGCACTTGCCTGAGGTCACACACCTTTCCGGAAGGACAGTCTAGATCCCACGTTGCCACCCAGGCAGGGCATAGGGAGTTGGAGATCCCTCAGCAGAGATGGCCTTTGGCGTCACATCAATCTTCCCCCTTTTACAGATGAAGAAACTGAGACCCAGAGAGGGACATGGCTCATCCAAAGCCAGACTGCAGCCTGGAGCCCAGAGCTCCAACCCTGGCCCCACTCTGTTCTTGTGCAGGGGCTCAGACTGCTGCTGGGGCCCAGGGAGGATAGGAGGACACTCACTTCAGTGCCCCTGGCCCACGCCACCAGCACCAGCAACAGGTGTTAAAGGGTTTAGGCCATGTCTTTTGGGGTGGTGGACATGGGTGGAGGGTGCTCTCCATTGTGGCTCAGTGCTGCCCCCCTTGCTCAAGCTTTACCTGCCCTCATAGCCACCTGGAAGATGGAGGTCTTCATGGTGGGACATTGGGGACCTGGGCCAGATACCAGGTCCACCATTCTAATAGCTCGCGGTGAGACTCGGGGTCGGTTCCCTCCCCTCTCTGGGCCAGAATATCTTCATCTCTCATATGGGGTTGGATATTATCCATCTCAGGGATAGTATGGGGATTCTGAAACCATCAGGAGATTGGGGGGGGGCGGGGTTAGAGGAGGCTTGAGAGCAGTCCTAGCCACATGGAGAGGGGCACAAGATTTGGACCTGGTAGGAGGCAGGATACAGATCTGTTGGATGGGGGAGAGTGCGGCAAAGGAAAGGGAGATGTGGGAGCCGCTGGAAGAACACACTTTGGGAGCTTGCACATATTGCGCCACCACCACCACCACCCCCCGCCTCACCCCAAGAGACATGGGGATGCATTTGAGTATGAGGTTCACTCAAGCCTAGTGCTGATACCAATCCCTGCCAGTGTCTTCCCCACAGGAAGACACTGCCATCCTCCCATGCTCCCCAGGCGTCATCCAGCCCCCACTCTGGAGCTCTTTGGGGCTGGGAACCAGGATAGTTGTCACGGTGTTTGGCCCCTCCTAATTCTATGGCTGCATCTTCGAGAGAGGGTTTTCCTGTCAATAAGACACGGGAACCACCGGGCTCCTTCCTTCCCTTGGGAACTGTGCAAGTTCTGGGCTATGGGGCCAGTGCTGCCCCATCAGCTCCCTGGCGATGCCAGGCCTAGAGTATGGGACACACACATGCCTGCCATCTTTACCCTGTAGAAACCACGCAGTTGGTCCAGTGCTCACATGGACACAGCCAGTTCCTGTGGTCACGAGGACCGAGGTTCAATGCCCCATGTGGTCTCCTAACACCCATCAGGGCAAGGGCAGTCTCCAGATTCCAGCCTCCCCTCTCTGACTTTTCCACTGGTTTGGCCCTGGCCATGCCCAGGACCTTCGTGGGGTATGTGTGGGTTGAGACTACATGAAGTGGCTGGTGTTTTCCTCTGGGTGGGGCCAGCTCAAGCCATGGATGTATGACCTGGATAGACCATTGGAGTGAGCCAGGTTGACATCTCCATTGTCAGATGGCAGACCAAGTGTTCAGGACGGGCTGTGGCTTGTCCTGGGCTGCTCTCATTCCTGCAACTCAAGCTATTTGATCCCATTCTCAGTTGACAGCAGCTCCCTGAGGACCTCCTTAGGCCAGGCCCCATGCTAGGCCCAGATGGGGGCTCTGCCCTTGGTGAGCTTACAGTGTCACAGGCGAGCTGGGCCACTCCAACAGATAATTATGCAAGGAGAGTGAACCCCTCTGCACCTCAGTTTCCTCATCTGTAAGATAGGAATAACTGCTGCCTCTAAGCATGATTGTGAAGGCTGAATAGATAGAGGTTGTTGGAGTCATTATAAACCCTCATGAAGCATAAGGCCTGGAACTGGCTTATACTATCTTAGGCCAAAGGTGCTTTGGGTGGAGTATTCTAGTCTTGAGTCTGGCCTCAGCTTTCCCATGTTCAAAACAAGGAGGAACATGCAGGACTCAAGGGCTGCCAGGAAGCCTTTGGGGCTCTGACTGTGAACAAGTTGTGGGGGCCTCCCTGGGGAGCACCAAGCACCCCCTTCCTACCCCCAACTTTATAGCTGACACCAGTTATAAGCCCTCTCTGACCAACCCCAGCATAAGCTCAAGTGCCTAGAGAGAGCCAGTGCTCAGCCCTGGGACCCTGTGGAGGATCTACCATAGGGGACAGGCCCCAACAGATTCAGCTCGACAGCAGATGGTCCCTGAATCAGGCATCCTGCCTGCCCAAGGGTGATGTGGGGAAGGACGCACATGGAGTGGGTCCTGCTGGGGCACGTCCCTCATCCCAGGCCCAGGACAAGCCCCCATCTGCCACAGCAAGCAGGGCCTGGAACCAGGCCTGACCAATCCAGTGGGGGAGCGAAGGGTTGGGGTGGGGATGGCTGCCTCCAGGGAGAAGTGTGTTGGCTGCACCCTTCCCAAGGTGGCACGTGAGGTTGTTTGCCTGCAGGAGTGATTATCCAAGGAGATCCCAGAGCTGGAGTGGCTTTGGGGCTGTGGGGTCCCAGGCATGGAAGTCCCTGCTACCACCTCACCCATTTCAGGCTCTCATCACCCTCGACTGGTGAAATCCAAGGCCATGTGAGTCCGCTCAGCTCTGACATCGTGTGTCATCTGTCCTCTTACCACTCCCTTGCCAAATAATATTTTGCCTTTCCTTAAGCATCTCCTGGGGTGGGGAGTTCACTCCCTCTCAAGACTCCTACCTAACTTTGAGTCAGAAAGTGCTTCCTCATCTAGTGTGCATATCTGCCTCCCCTTGGCTTCCCCCTGCAGGTCCCGGCCCCTTCATGGACTGTACCATCTCCCTCTGCCCCACCTGGAAAACTCTTGCAGAGACTCAAAGAAAGAGCGATTGTCAACCAGAGGAGAGAGGACCCTGGCCCTCAACCATCGGGGAACCCTGGCTGGGTCCCACAGCTCCACTGCACCCATTGTACCAACAAGAAAGCTGGGCCCTTTCTCATACTGATGAGAGAAGCTAGATGTCTTGCTCACAGTCACACAGAGATTGTTCCATGGCAGGACAGGGGCCTGCGGCCCCGGAAGAGCTTAGATAGCCTGCAGGGGCCAGCCTGGTGAGCTCATTGGAGTATGCAGACTCATTGCCAGCAGGCCATAGGCCGCCTCCCTGTCGCCCTGTGTCTACAGATCCCAGCAGGAGGAGCCTGCCAGGCCACCTTCATGCTGGGGGCGGGGGTGAGCTCAACCGATGGGCCTGGGTAGGTTCTAGCCTAATTGTTACCAACTTACTGTGTGGCCCAGAGCATGTCTCCCACCTGTCTGTGTAAGGGTCCTCCAGGAGGTTTCTCAGACCCCAGATGGGACCACGGTGCTGGCCTTGAAGGGGCTGGATCTCTGTCTGGGTCAGTAGTATCTGGCCCTGGTCTGACATGCTCTCCTTTGCTGCCCAGTGGGACAGGGAGTGGGGAGACTGAGGGCCAATGCCTGATGGCCCCAGGTGCCTGCTGACTACCCCTGAGGCTGGTAGGCTTGTCTATACTACCCTGTCCTTTCCCTGTGCCTCTCCCCTCCTCAGGACCTACTAAACTGCCCACATTGGCCTGTGGCTGGACTGGGGGTGGAATAGGTGTACCTTGACTTCTGGGGTCCTGCCCTAAGCCAGGTCCAGGAGGGTGGAGGTCAGCTCTTGTGGGCAGAGGTCATCGGATGACAGGAAGAGCACATGTGTTGGGTCGGTCAGTGAGGGAGCCTGCCAAAGTCCATACCAGCCCAGGGACAGATGGGTGACATCATCCAGTGACTGTGCCCGCTGCTGCTCTGCCCCTTGGCTGTTGACACATCTGGTTCATCTCAGTATCCCAGGGTAGCAGGCAAACTCTAAGACTTTTGAGAGCCAGCTCCTCCCAGGGTCTTTGTGCAGCTTTCTCACTCTTCCACCTACACATCTCACCTGCCAGGTTATTGGGCTTTGTTCTCTGTAGTCTTGTGCTAGCAGGCATGTTGAATGTGCTTCCCCCTCCACTCCCTGCTGCCAGATTCCAGTCTGTGCCACCGACTGAGAATCTTGTGTCCTAAGTGTGGAATACTGAGCCTAGAACTTCAGGGCCAGAGCTGCTGCACCAGCTGACGACCCTGGTCTCTCTTCCTGCTCCCAGGTGATAGCTGTGGTCATGGACATGTTCACCGATGTGGACATCTTCAAGGACCTACTAGACGCCGGCTTCAAGAGGAAGGTGGCTGTGTACATCATTGTGGACGAGAGTAATGTCAAATATTTCCTGCACATGTGTGAGCGGGCCCGCATGCACCTGGGACACCTTAAGGTGAGCTGGCTGGTCATGAATGACCAACTCATCACTCAGTTGGTCAGCAAACACTTCAAGCACCTGCTTTCTAGGGACGGAGCCCTGTGCCAGGCATACAGAGTTCAATAATCCTAGAACCTTCTGGTCACCTGGTCTCTGCTTAAATCCTCCAAGGAACTAGACAGTAACTACCTCCAAAAGTCAAAGATAAACATTGATTAAGGCCCTACCGGCCAGGCGTTGGAGCCCATACAAGGTGCTACATCAAAGCAGTCCATGCTACATGGGTTACCTAGCTTTGCTTGCACACCTCAGATGCCAAGGTGCTCACTACCCTGGCTCCAGCAGCTCACATCTTATCTGGAGAGCTCTGACTCCCAGGAAGTTTTTACTTGGGTTTAAGCCAAAGTCTGCCTATAATGTCTACCCACACGCTTAGGACCTAACCCTGACAGAGGAAGCTCCCTTGGGCTGAGGTCAGGGAAGGTTTCCTTAACAGCTGCAGAGTTAAAATGGATTAGAAGAATAAGAGCAGAGTAGAAAGAGCCTTCTAGAGGGGACACCACGGAGCAGAGGTGAGGGAGTCATGATGGGCCTGGGTTCTCAGCACTGCTTTGCTGTATATGTCCTTGAGCACATCACTTCCCCACTCTGGACTCCAGGGTCTCATTGGTCCAACAGAGGGGCATGTGGGCCAGTGTGGCTGGCCTCTTCTGCACAGATGCCCTGGCATCTGGTACCTTGCTTAGGGATAGAGGGAGCCCTCCTTCCACCGTGGTATTGCTTGGCACCTACTGTGTGCAGCACATTTCCCAGAGAGTACAGATCAGTACACATAATGACAGGTAATAATTTTACAGTATTGGACATGTGCCGGGCATGTCCTAGGCACTTTACGTGGTTAACTTATTTACTCCTATGACAATCCAGTTGTTCCCATTTTACAGATAAGGAAATGGAGGCGCATGCCCAGGTGTCACTCATGACTAGAAAGTTAAAGAGAATGGGAGTGGGGGTCAGCACCAGAGCCCTCTGGCTGAACATGTCCTCTGACAGGTCAGAATTCCTTGGGTTTTAGGTCTGTGATCTGAACAAAATCCTAGGAGAAAAGGAGACACTAGGCTGATTAACAAGGGACTGGGTGGGTTCCCATGCCTGTAATTTGTCGGTATTTGTCAAGTGTGTCCCCCATTTCAACTGAGCCCTTTCAAGTGGGTGTGAGCTTCCTGGGTGGTGAGTCTCTGGCTGTTGGGACATTTTAATGTGGTCTCATTGGTGGATTGACCCCAAGCCCCACGCTCACCCGCCGCACTGCCTGCCATGTAATTAGCACTGAGGATTGACTCTGCCAGGCCAGACAGCTCATGCTTGATAGGCCCAGAGTGTGGAAAAGGCGTCTTTTGAAAGGTAGCAGGAGACACCTTGGCCCTGTGGGTAGCAGATCAGAGAACCTCAAGGCTTTCTGTCGAGCCCTCTCCCCATGCTCGGGAAGAGACCCTACAGGCCCACCACCCCTGCACCCCTGCCACACGTCCAGTGTTGCTGTGCACACGTCACATCACTCAGCCCACCTTGCATTCCCAGTGTGTGGATAATGAGGCAGGAATGTGGTTGTCCGTGCTGAGTGGGGACCTAAACCCAGGGCTGACTACTCCAGAGGCCTTGTCCCCTGTCCAGGCCCCTTCTTTGTAAGGAAATCCCAAATGCAAGTCTTAGAGTGTTTGGAGCTCCCAGAAGTGGGGAGCAGGTGGAGCTGGACTATGAATGTGACCCAGAGGCTGCACGGCTTCCTCCATGTGAAGTTGGCCCAACATCACTCACCCACCCTAGTTGGGGGCCTTGGGATCTGCTGCAGCCCTGTAACTTTGTGGGAGCCTGGAATGCCTTAGCTTGCAGGGGCCTTGAGGCCATCTAGACTAAGCTCCCATAGGACAGATGGGGAAACTGAGGCCTGAGGGAGGCTGTGACTTGCCCAGAGGTATTCTCCCAAGTCAAGCTGAACCTAAAAGCCAATAGCAAGAAATCTGCATGGACAGGGAAGGCACAGACCCTTGATGCCCAATGTCCCTCGCTGAAGTTGCACCTGCCATCAGGGCTTCCATGAGACATAGGTGCATGGCCCCACCTCTCTGAGCCTCCAGTGCCTCATGGCCATAATGATGCCTCATTTGAGGATGAAATTAGAGGAGACAATGGTTGTAAAAGTGCTCTATGAGCTAAGGGGAGTTACGCAGCTGCTGGCAATAACAAGAAATTATAAACCCTAGGCCCTAGGCAGGGGAGGAGGTGTGTGTGTGAGGCCTCTCCTTGCCACCCCCTGTCTGAAGATACCTTGAAAATGAAGCTGTAGCTGGGGGCACAGGAGGGACAGCTTGTACGGGGGGTTCCTGGCCTAGCCTATTCTGCTAGCTATCTCCCTATACTGGGGAAGGTGGCAGGGTCTACAGTGTGTTGTGCCTAGGAGCTGGGCACCCTCATGGGAAAGAATGTGTGACCCTGGCCTCCTTAGTCTCACCTCTGAGCCTGCCCCCTTTATAGCTTGGGCAGACTTTTATGGGCCCAGCCCTGGCCAGGTGTCACCTTGTCGAAGGCCGGCTCACATGGCCCACCTCCCTGCCTAAGGGCTGGTTAGGCCCAGACCTGTTTCAGGAGCACTTCCTCTGCCAGTAATCCTGGGCTTTCCCTTGGCTGCCTGCCACCCCTGCCAAGCTCTGCTGTGACCTGCCCTCAGATCCTACTGGCCCAGGGTACAGATTACACATGGCGGGGTTATACTTGTGACCATGGCAATGTTGGGTGCCAGCCTGGGGGGCAATACTAGGAACCAGACCTGTTCCCACCTCTACCACCTGCACTGTAAACCCTTGAACAGAGACATTGAATCTTTCTGGGCCTCGGTCTTCTTGTCTGAAAAGTGGGAATGTTGTCATTGTCATTTATTTGGCAGGGCTGCTTTGAAGAGTAAAGGAGACCACGTGGGCAGGACACTCAGTAATGAGTTTCTTCCCATCTTGTCTTTGGGAACAGGTGTGGCTCCTCCCATGAGATCCCAGCTTTGGTCTGAGTGCTAAGGGGCTTCTCTTTTCCATTTGAGCCATGGTCTGGCTGGGGACCACCCTCATGCCCCCTGCTCCATGCAGCGCCTCCCCAGCCTCCTGAGCTTTGAGCTCATACCAGGATGCTCAACAGGGAGCTGTTCTGGAAACAGCTCTGATCTATTGCTCGACCCAACCCCTTTCCTGGTTCCCAATTGAGGTAGGAGGACATGCATGAGCATTTCCCCAGGTGTGACATTCCCACTATTGCCAAGCATCCTGGCCTGCTGGCTCAGTTGGCCCCTGATGGCCCATCAGGAGAAGAACGTGGGAATGATGGCCCCATATTCCAAATGGGGAATAGGCCTTAAGAAGACTCCACCATCTCACCCCTCACCAGGGCCCAAGGCCAGGCCACGTGACCAGGCCACATTCGGGGGTAAGACTGAGTGCCAAGGGATGCCCCAGAGCCAGTGGGAATTAGGCTGGACAGGAGCTATGGGATGCCTGGCTGATTTGAAAAGCTTGTCAGCATTATGCAGCCAAACTGGAAAAACCAGCATCCACTTGGGCAAAGGCCGGGCCCATTTCTGATGAACAAAAACATCCCAGCCAGAGTGGCCATGGGAAGGCACTTAGTGGGGATGAGAGGACTCGGCTTGCAGCTCACGTTCCACGCTGAACAGGCAGCCCTCTTCTGGTCCTCCAGGTTTCCTCCTTTTCCCTCCCAACTTCTCTAATACTGGCCTGGTTCTGTAATGGATTCAAGGTATAGGGCAGTGCTTCTCAACTAGGGGGATTTGCCTGGCTTCGGGCATTTGGCAGTGCCCGGAGATGTTTTTAATGGTCATGACTGGGATGGTTCTACTGGCATCTGGTGGTTAGGGGCCAGGGATGATGTTAAACTTCTTATGATGCACAGGACAGCCCCACAACAGAGAAGCACCTTGCCCAGAATATCAACGGTGCCAAGGCTGAGCAACCCAGCCTATGGGATGAGCCAGGAGTCCCTCCAACAAGGTCTTGGAGCTGGGCTGGCTCAGCCCTACTGTATCCCCTGTCCCCAAAGGTGGTTCATAAAGGTGTGTTCACAAAGCTTTACGACAGCGCAGCGGAGGCCAGGGTAAGCATTGGTCCCTCTCCCCATTAGAGTGAAACAGACCCTTTAGAAGAGAGCAGAGGCTGGCTGGGCACCCAGCACATGGGGACATAGACCCTCTGTACCCTGTGTTCCACACACCTGGCCTGATCTTGCTGTCACCTGCCAGGTCTGGTCAGGATGCAGCTCTGGGCCTCTCTATTCCTCTCTGGGCTCAGGAGATGCCAGCAGGCCCCTGCGGAGGGTGGGGGCAAAAGAGCTGCCATGGTACAGCTGGAAGTTGTCCTCAGTCCCAGGGGGCTGTGGGAGACTGTGGATAAGTCATTCCTCCTCTCTGAGCCCACCTGGCTATCATGTATCACTGACAGTCATGGCCTCCATGGGCCTGAGTCCATGTCATTTCAGATATTTTCTGGTCCTCTGTGTTGGTCCCCCACCTATCCCCCCCAGTGGAAGGGATTACATCCTAGTACTGGAAGAACAACCTTCAGCCTCAATTCCCCTCTCACCAATGTCTGCCCTCACCCACCCTAAACCTTGTCCTGATGAAGGGCTCACAGCCCACTTTGTTGCCTCGCATTTATGGAGCACCCACTGAGTGCCAGGCATCTTCCTGGCCCTCTGCATGCGTCATGGCTTCATTCAGTCCTCACAGCAGCCCTGAAGCATAAGGGCGGGTAGGCCCATTTCACTGATGAGAAAACTTGAGGTGTGGAGAGGCCAAGTCGGCATCCATTTGGTGCCAGGACTGAAGCTATGTTTGTCCAGAGCTCAAGAATGCCCCAGACCCACCCTACTGTGGCGGGAGGGGAGGCGGGGAGACAGGGGGCTGGGTTTGTCCCCTCCGCCTCCCACCAACCCAGACCTGGGCATCAGCGGACTTGGTATACAGTCAGGTTGTGTCTCTGTATGAGCACAGAAGGACCAGTGAGGGATGTGGAGCAGGCGACTACAGTTTTGCCCCAGCCTTTAGTCCACTCCACTCTGCCCCGTACACTATTGAGCAGGTGACATGCTGCCCAGCTGTCCTCCCCTGACATTCTCTCGGGGACCTATCACTGTCTTCTTTTAGGTATGAGAAAACAAATTCCCTGGGGCCCAAAGACTTGCCCATGGCACCCCATTTGGGCCAGCCAGGGTGTCTTCCCCCTGCCTATGTCCTCTGCCAGAGGTGTCATGAGGCTCAGAGACAATGCTGCTTTGTGGGAGCCTCCACTGCTCACCCGAGCCCTGACTCCTGAGACATTACCTCATCTGGGCTAGGCCCCATGGGGTGGGGCCCACCCAGGAAAACAGGCCTGGGAGCTGACATGAGGTGGGTGGGGGGTGGCAGCTGCTACAAGGCCCCATTTGCTGCTGAGCCCCAGGGCTAATGGGTTTTAGATTTGAGGCCAGCCCCTAGTTTGCAGACAGGGAAACTAAGGCCCAGAAGGGGCCAGAGACTTGCTTAGAATCACACAGTGAATCTGGTACAGCCATGGCCTGCCTCTCACACAGGGTTGAGTCATTCTGAAATGTAGGAGCCCTTCATCAGGACAAGGTTTAGGGTGGGTGAGGGCAGACATTGGTGAGAGGGGAATTGAGGCTGAAGGTTGTTCTTCCAGGCCAAGGAGGGGCCTGTGGCCCCAGCACACAGAGCACTAGGCCAGGAATCCACAGAAGCCGCAGAGCTAGGCTATGGTCGGGCACAGGTGACAGGGGAAGGCCTCCAGGATCTTTGCTCTGACTTCTGGTCCCTGATCGTGCTCTGTGTTGGGTACAAAGTCATGAGCACTAATTGTCCTAGGCTGCGGCCAGT